CTGTCTTATTTACTTATCAAATTTTCATTTTTTACTTATCAAATTTCTTTTTTTTACTGGTACAATTGATATTTTTTTACTGCTATTCTGTATAATAAACTGATCATTTTCATATTATTTACTGGTAATCTAAGTACTGATCATTTAATATCTTAACTGATCATTCAACCTTTAAACTGATCATTTATATACTTTTTTACTGGTACTTTCGTCCATTTTACAGATCAAATAATTTGTTGCCTAGAAAATTTTGCATTGAAAGACTAATATTTGCCATAATCGCGATAGTGTTGCATTGATTGTCTAATTTATACATTCTACAAAATCTTATAAAAATAGATGATGATATTGATAAGAAACAATTTCGATTGGATCAAAATGATTCTGATACTACTAAAGATACCATAATTCAATTCGTAACATGGACAATATTAAAATTAATTCTAATGTTTATGAATACAAATGAAGATTGTCTTGTTTATATTAAATATGAAAAAAATGTCAAAGAAATTTGATTGAAATTGATGAATCAAATTAAAAATGGTATTTCAATAAAAGTATATATCTACAATATTTTGGAGTTATTATTGGGCGAAAAAGATATTCAAAATGATAAAAGTACTTCAAAAGAAATTCTTATGACATTAATAACTTACATACGTAATAGCAATAAAGAGACCAGTGATGAAGATATTGTCTCTGGAACACGTTTAGCAGATTTGTTTTCATGGTTAACAACACTGAAAGTTATGTTTCCTATAAACTTCAGTAAACAACTCATTCATGGCTAAGTGTCAGTATTCATATGCAAATTAGATCGTTTGGAAAGTACGCTATCCCGTTTTTGGTTGTCTTGAGTCCTCTTCTTCCTTGTGATCAAACATGAGTTTTTCGAACCATCTCACTGATCATGTGACTTGAAATGGGCTCTGTTCTGCTCATCTAAACTATCAAAGTTTATCTCAAATCAATCATTTTTTTATATATTAATTATTGCCATTGCTTGTCTGCATTTCGATGGTTCGCTTCCAAAATCTGATGCTCAAAATTTAACAACAAAATTGAAAAGTCAAATAAGAGACCAACCTACTTGAAATTTTGGTTTTAACATTCAATAATATCTATGATCCTAGATAAGAATGTACCAAACCCGGGAGCAGACTAGAAATCATACATGTTAAACGTGAAACTTGAATTCAACTCTTCAACAATCCTACGAATGTTTAGTGAGGGGGTAAGCGCTATTCGCCGATTAACTAACTTTTTATATCAGCGTCGCGGCGTGAGGGCGCGAAGTCCCCCTGAAGAGCCGCGACCCATGCATAGCTCTTCCTACACAGAAATCGAAGTGTGTCATGCTTAGACCCATACATGTTAAACTGGAAACTTCAATTCTTAAAAATTTCAATCGATTCAAGTTTCAAGTTTTACACTACTGGAACAACATGTTCGGAATTTTATTTTTGATAAGAAACTGGATGTAATGATTTTATGAACTGAAAATATGAATGGTGACGAGCTTTTTGAGTTATGGAAACAATGTCAAACACAACAGGAATGTTGGCCATCCAGTCAGACAAACAATAAAAAATAACGCCTAAAAATGAGCAAAATTTAAACGAAAACAAAACGTAAAAACCGCACTTTTTTTTGGAGTTTTTTTTCGTTCAAAACTTTAACGAAAAATAAATGCGAAAAAGGTGCGGCTTTTACGATTTTTTTTCGTTAAAATTTTAATGCATTTATACGCGTAATTTTCGTTGTTTGTCTAACCAGGAGGTCTTCAAATTTTTCGAATACCATCTGTCACGAGATCTTATAAAACCACGAAGTTGTAGAAAAGTCAAATTTTCGAATTTTCACTCGATCTTTTCATGCACAGACCTGATTTAGACAAGCCTCCTTAAAAATTAAGAACTTCCCAACCGTCCTTCTGAACTATGAAACTTCCAAGAAAAAGTTCCTTTTCGAAAAAGGGTGTGGGTGTGGGTGTGAATCGTGTCATAACCCACATTCCACAGTATCGATTATAAGTGTTCTGTCAATCGTTTTTTTTTCAGAGAAAATGAAGAACACGCATATGACCCTTGACATTTTGCCCTTTTTCCCGTCATTTTATTACGCTATATATTTCGCTCTAATTCTCAAACGATTCACTCAACTAAACTCAGATTTCCAGAGATTGAAGAAAGATGCATACACATATCTTTCGACGTAAAAATAATATTTCTAAATAATCTAGTGGCTAACAAAAACGTCACTGCATTACGCATGCGTAAGGCAAATTTCTTCTGATATTGTTTGGTTATCATATACTTATACATGAAGAGCACAAACACTATAAGCAGAATTTTACAGCACGTTAACAACCTTATTTTATGCTTGTTCGTGGACATCTTTTTATACCCACTTGCCAGTTAAAAGTATGATTCTGTTTACGGTCTTTTCTTTTTCATACAAATTTTTCATTCTATTGCAAATAAAAATATAACGTATTGTCTACGTCATTACAAAAAGAAAAATCTTCTTGTATTTGAATTTAGTTGGAAAATTCCAACTTTTATATCAAATATATTGTTACTTTTAATCAATAATCTACATTATTTTCGATAATTCTTCATAACCGTCAAGTAATTCCATAGCAAGAATTCTATATGATGATGTTTCTATATATGCAACATATTTTGGTATTGATGGAATTTCATATTCTGTCAAGAGACGAAGTGCGGCAGCTTCACGTAAACTTTTTTCACTTCCTCTGTTTTCAATAAGTGATTGACGATCAATACGATTATATCGACCAGCTGTATTGAATGAAACAATATCGAGTTTAGTTGGTAATTTAATAAATTTTATTGCAACAGGAAAATGAACTGCTTTTGAACGACCTCGTACAACTAATCCATATGTTCCTGCACCAATTAATGATTGACGATCAACACTAAGACATGTAAGAGATGGATCTGATGGACAGGATTCAGTATTAAATGTTAAACTATTTTTCTTTAACAGATCAAGATCGTCAGAAGAAATTG